GAGCTGCGTTCTGTGGGAGAAAGGGGGTTATCATTAAGAAATGGGGCAGCTTTTGACACACTGTGGGAAAATCCATAAGGTTTTCTCTGGAGATTTGCTTTTCACAACTCAGGAGGTTTGTTTTATTATCAGTTAGCCAAGTTACCTGGTAAACCCTCAAAATAGGTAATTTACACCTTTCCATCTATTAGTTAAAACAAACTGAGAGAGAGAGACAGAGAGACAGAGAGAGACAGAGAAAGACAGACAGTGAGAGAGAGAGACAGAGAAGGGGGAGGGAGAGATAGAGAGAGAGGAGAGAGAGAGGGATTGACCTCAGCATTAATTTTCAGTCCTCTCTAGTTCTTTTTAATTTCTCTATGTTTTATTAGGGAAATGTTTTTCATTTTTAAACTTACTTATGATAAACACAGTAGTTGTTCAGGGTAAAAGAAACTCATGTAAATAAGTTTTTACAATTAGAATTAAAAATTAAGAAGGAAAGAATTTTTTTTTACTGTTACTGCCAGTTCCACTCATAGTTAAAGTTTCTTGTGTAATTACACACACACACACACACACACACACACACACACACACACACACATTCTCACATATGCACATAAAGTACAGTTTTCACACAGTTGAGAATATTCTCTCTGAATCATTTTTTCTCAGTAATAAATTTGTACCTTAATTTTTAATGAATACATTTAATTCAATTTTAGGGTCCATATTTTCAAACACTCTTCTATTAGTTGATGTTAATGCTGTTTCTAATAGCATACTGTTGCACAGGGAATAGGCTCATTTTACTGGATTCTTATACAAGTGTGTAAGTGAAATAAATTTTAATCAGATTTGTTGGGTCAAAGTACAGATGTTGCTTTTTAACAGTTCATGAAGTTCTCCAAAAGGAAAGTTCTGCTAATATATTCTTGCTGTCTCAGCTATGAAATTTCAGCGATATGCAAAAGTTTTAGTATTCTGACTGTCAGATATATAAAAATGCATTTCTTCTCACTTCTATTTATATTATTACATTAAAAATTTATCAAACTTTTTACACACAAAGTGCCCATTGGTATTTCTTTTTTTCTCCTCAATTTTTAAAAATTCATATCCATTAACATATTCATTAAAAGCAGATAGAGAGACAGATGGATCTCCAGGGCACACTCGTAGTGACCCATCTCCTCCCCACAGGCTTCACTCCATAGCACACACCAGCTATAAACCTGTCAGTGAACTAATCCAGTGCCACACACCCGTGACCCAGTCATCTCTCCCAAACCCCGTAATGGGCACATGGGGCTTTAATGGGACATCAGGATAAAACACAGAACAATACACACACACAACACACACAGTATGGTGCCTGTTTCTAGATCTCCGGGAGAGGCAAAGAGGAGGGTTCTGTTACCCTTACAGTGATTATTAGAAAAAGTGATATTTTTTCACTGTTTTGCAATTAAAGTGATGATGCAAATCAGTAGTGGATCAACTGGTGACACAAAAAGACAAAGAAATGTCATCGAGTTAATAGCAATTTTGGTATTCTTCACTGTATTCTTCAAAAAACCAATGTTATACCTTTGATCAATCACTAAGAATGATCATTTCTTCAATTCAAGAAGCCTGAATTGTTTGTTTGTTTGTTTTGAGACAAGGTTTCACTATGTAATGCAAGCTGGCCATGAACTCACTGTGTAGCAGGCTTACCTTAAACTCACAGAAATTCTCCTGTCTCAGCTTCCCACATGCTGACATTAGAGGCGGGTGCTGCCATACACAGCCCAATGTTTGAATGTCTTAAATATTGTATTGACAAAATAAAAAGTTATCTGTGAAAAACTTCTATTACTTATTAAAATACAGTGGTTCTCTGAAGGAAAAACACTTGGGTAGTAGAGTTTTGTGCTAAACTAACTGCCTTTTCAGAGAATACAGTTTTTCCTTAAAAGGATGATTGCTGTACACACCATGGTCATTGAAGCATTTGACAAATATTTTCTAAAAGTGAAGAAATGAACCATAAATTAGCTTGACATTATTTACATTATTTATTGATTACATAATTCATGTTTTAAAAGAAAATGCAGAATTTGAAAAATCTTTCAGTGTTAGCATAATGATATTCCAAAGTTTGCATAATTTTCTGAAGAGGTTGGAGTGAGACAAATTGTGATACTCTGTGTATGTCTATATCTATAGCTATAGCTATATATCTTAGATCTACATATGCACCTGTATGTCTACTGTATATATCTATACACACACACATAAACATTGCATATAATGCTATCTGTAACTTTGGGAAAATTTGCATAACTCAGTGAATTTGCTTTCCAGATTACTAATATACAATGAAACAAAACCATTCATGTTGCTTGGCAAGTGTGAGGTTCTGAATTCCATTCCTAGTACCAAACAAACAGCCATTCATGAATAAAAAAGTCAGTTCAAACAAAATGCACCAATAAGATGTACTGTAAATGAATATACAAATTTCATTGATATTTTAAATTATACTTTGCAAAAGAATATTTTAGAATGATTTTGTAGAGTTTTAATTCATTTGAAAAAGTGTATGTACAATTAAATGAAAAAATCTATTGAAATAGTCTCCCTTTCTGACTAAATATCAGTGTGAGACCAGATTTTCTTCACGTACTGCAAGCAAAGCAACAGTGTTACAATGCTTGCATGCAGAAAACAATGTGATAATCCACCTGGTGCTGTTGCCATAAACTAGAGATTACAGACATTTACAGAATTATAAAGCAATTCCACTGTTTGTTTTTGTGTTGGAAAATATAAGCTGATGATTTAAAATGTTAGTTATGTTAAAATGTCATACATTTATTATTGTTATATAGTAAGGTAGTACATTGTTAACCACATTGTGATTTCTAAAGTCATAATTACGAATAAATGAATATTAAAAAACCCAAACACTATTTGAGGTCTTATTAATTTTGAAGAATGTATAAATGTTCTTTTGCCACAAGCTTATAACTGTTGTATTGTCATAATTCTCTTGTGTCTCTGTCTCTGTCTCTGTATTCTATCTCTCTCTCTCTCTCTGTCTCTCTCTGTCTCTCTCTCTCTCTCTATATATATATAGATAGATAGATAGATAGATATAGATATAGATAGATAGATAGATAGATAGATATATGTATGGATATACATATATATGTACCTTCTCATTCTCCTCCTTTCTTACTGAATCATTGTGTGTTAATAACATACTTTCTATATTTGGAAGGACTAGATTATTCTATAACTCTTTTGCCTTGAATTTATTTATATATTACAAAACATTTCTTTTTCTAAATCAACTTTAGTATTATATTGTGATATTGAAAGAAAACTTGATACCTTACTTAAAATCATAAATCATCTTAGATTACAGCTGAGCTATATATTTACTTAAAGGGAATTAAAATCACTTTGTATGACAATGTCTTTTATTTATTTAGCATTTTTATTTATATACTTGTAGATTTTGAAATTTAAGTGAAAATGGAACCCTCTGTTTTGAAAAGAAGATACTACTAATTTCAGGTCATTACCATCATGCTGGTGCACACCTGTAATTCCAACACTCTTAGGGAGACTTTCTCTCAAAAACATTTTTTAAAATCATGGACTGAAGACATAGCTCAATGAGAAGACTATGGATTCAGTTTGCATTATTGAAAACAAACAAATAAAAACAATATAAAAGCAAAAAGCATGTGGCCCTTCTTATACCTTTTATTTTTGAAGGCATATAACAGATAAATTCATAAACTAATATAAGGCAAGAATTTTGCCATTTACTCTTTTGTATATTATTTGTATCTAGGAAGTGTTGCTTTTTGTTTACTAATCTTGAACGAGCATTTTTCTTTTGTTTACAATTAGGGACAAACAACTATATTCATACTGATAATTTCAATGATATGGAGAACTTTTTACATATTTCAGTATCAGTACAGCATGTATGTATGTTTCAGAAAGACATTGACAATGGCAGTATTACAGGGGTTCAGAGCTTAGTTTCATTTTTCGTGTTTCATCTTATGTGCCTGACTGGAGGAATTTACTAGCTGTATCTCAATTTCAAAATAAAAATGAGGAATATGCACTTGGGATAAGGAGGAAAGTAAAGCCAAATTGTTTTTATTTGCTATTTTGTTCACTTTACAGTATCAGCCTGTGGTTTTTGTTCAGGTTTTTATAAACTAAAATACACAAAATTTAAGTTGAATGCCAGTCATTATTGCTAGCAAAAATGAAATCTGTGGCACACAGCTGTGTTTAAAAGAATGGCATTGTTTATAATGAAATGTTTTAGATATTCAAAGTGTTTTGGCAGTTTGATAGAAATGCTCTCCTTGAAAAAGTTTGCACATTTTTCTGAAAATAATTATTGATGTAAAGTGAATTCTAATTATCAAAATAGACAAATCATTTGTAGGCTTATTAAAGCAAAGCTATTAAAGGAAAAAAAAATCTCTTTTAGGAACCAGGTGTATACAATTACTCATAATCTCAATAAGCCATTATGATAATATGCCTAAAGTGTCCAAATCAAATAGGACATTTAAAATAAAATAATGAAACACATCCAAAAAGAAATGAGAGTCTACCTAGGGCACAAAACACCTTGAAAAATTTGAAAACCGTGAAAGACAATTTTAAGTGCTCGACAAAGAGAAAAAAGACCATTTCTTATGTATTGGTGATGTTTAAGCTGCTTTCAGTGAGACCTTATGTTACTGTCTGCACTGATCGGAGTATTGGTGAATCTCATGCAACTGAAGCTGAACTGCAGGGACCACACAGTGCTGACATTTCCATTAAATTGTTATAGTTCAATTATTTATATAATGTTTTCAGTAAAATTCTCAGCAACTTGCTAGGAAGGGCCAATGTAGTAGCTTGATAAGCAAACCTCAAACGATAACCGTGATTTGTTTATCTGGTGAGGAACCAACCTAAAGTGACAATCTCTGTCGATGCTTGCTCAGATCAGGTGGACCAAAACAGCAGGAAGTGCCTCTGACAGATTCCAGGACTCCAGCGTCTTCAACGAGACTCTGAGGATTAGCAACATCCAGCGACACCAAGGAGGCCGGTATTACTGTAAGGCGGAGAATGGCCTGGGCTCCCCAGCAATAAAGTCAATCAGAGTGGACGTGTACTGTAAGTAAATTGCCCCAAACCACGATTCAGCGTAATTCAGGGTTCCTTCTGTCCCATTATGGTTTTCCTAAAAGTAATAAACTTCTCTCTAGTGGAGAATAAGAAACATATTCAGCCTAATTCGGGTTTCTTATGTACAACTAGGATTTTCTTAAAAATAATAAAATTCTCTCCAGTGGAAACATGAAAACTGTATCTGATAATCATAGCTATTTTAATACATTTTTGAGGAAAGAAATCATCGTTAGACCTTTTTGTACTTTATGATGAAATAATACACTACAGAAAATGTAGAAACTGCATTAATATTAAGACAGCATTATGAACAATGCCACTAATATCATGATGTTTAATGTTTATATGTTTCCTTTTCTATTTTTGTGTGGAAAGAGTCATACACATGTACTCTTAATTGTGTTCATTCGTTTTACCTATGTCCGATTGCAGCTACACAACTGTATTTTTAAATGCATAAGGAAATTCATCCGAATTGGCTTCTAAATGGCCAAAGATCTCTATGCAGAGTCTGTCTTTGATCCAACCCTGACACGTGTAGTCAGCGCCAAGCCTAAACCCATGATGTCATCTAAAAGGTGTTGCTTGATTGTTTGGTTGCTGTTGTTCTGGCTTGCATTTTCCTATATTTCATTCTGTTTAATTATACTTAAATTCTTCTTGGTCTCCTTGCTTCTTTGTCACCAAATCAAGGGCTTACTTCACTGCTGTCTTTTGCATGGGGTTTATGTAGCTGCTGTTGTCTTTGTTTCAAATGACTGCCTGTTAATTCTACAGAATAATGGACCCTGTTCTGACATGTTGATGGATACATACAACATACTGTGGTCTTTTAAACCCCCAGTTGCTTCTTATCTTCTTTCCCCATTTCCCTTCTCTAATAGGCATCTCTCTGTTTCTATCTAATGGGTTTTTAATTTTGTTAAAGATGCTATATAGGACGGAAAGCATGAAATATTTGTCTCTCTGATTGTGAGTTATTTTACCAATGCCATCTATTTTCTTGAAAATGACATGGTTTCATCATTTTCTGAAACTGAGGACTATTCCTTCCTGTGGGCATATACACCACATTTTCTGTTTCTGTTTTTTAAAGAACTCCTTTAAAGGTTCCTGAAAATATGTATTTTTTCTCTCCTTTGAGTAATTCAAACATCTACAAAAACAACAGAAGTTTCTGTTGTTCTGCCCATTTTCTTCTCCGTCCCTGTTTCTTTCTGTGCAGCACAGGCGTTGAGCAGTTAGGGAGGGACTTGAAGTTCTATGCAGGCTGCTCCTTGAACATTGCACTCAGCATCTTTTAGTTACTGAGCCAAGCAGGAACTGGATGGCATAGCAGCATTTGCGACTCATCTTCCTCATGCAGACACTTTGTTCCCTCCTGCATAGCACAGAAGTCTCTATTCCATTCCTGCCTTCATTCTCTGGTCCCTGAGTACTGCCTAGTATAATTTAGGCACCAGTGACCCAGGTGCCTTCTGATGCTTATGAGTACACATCTCCGTTTCTTTAGAAATCTCAGCCAGGATGAAGCCCCTGGCCTCCACATATTTCCAGTAATTTTCTTCACATGTAATTTCAAATCAGGGCAGAGAAATATAGCTCAATTACACAAGGGCCTGCCTGGCAATGGCAAGTTCCTGAGTTCAATTCTGGTACCAAAAAAAAAAAAAAAAAAAAAAAAAAAAAAAAAAAAAAAATCCAAATCAAACTAAGTTTGGTTTACTGAACCCCATTTCAGTAATATAACCTTCTAGAATACATACCTCTGAGTTTTTTCTTATTGTAACTTAGATCTGTTTTTGAATATACCTCTTACCTATCTAAAAACCAACTTTATAATCTAAAAAGTTCTAAAAATGAATAGGTTATTCTACTTTTGTTTTGGTATATTTTGTCAGCAACATCTAATGTAGCATAGATTGCCAGCAAAATATAACTGGAAACAACTTAAAGAGAAAGACAGATAAAAAATTTATACTATTTCTTTACAGTAGTTTTCCTGAGTAATTACGTATTTTGCTCAGAAAATGTGTCTGATTATTGGATAAAGCTACCAAGCCTGCTGGGTAGGTTATATATAGATGGTTTCTGAGCTATTTTGTCTTTCTAAAGTCTTAAGGCATCACAAACATGTTTTCTACAAGTTTTGGATAAGAGGTTGTGACCTGCGTTTCTACCATAATAAGTTTGATAGTAATGAAGAAGAATTATATCGCTGAGATAAAATTTAAATACAAATGGAGGAAATCAAATTTCAGAGACTTCAAACATCATCTCTCTTGACTGTGAAGCTTTGTGAGTACTTCTCAGCATTGTCCTACTCTTTTGTCTCCTCAACCTTGTCGCCTTGTCCCTAAGTTCATACTGTACAACTTACTGGAAAGAAAACACTGTTTCAACTCTTTTCCTAGTCCTTGGGGTTCGTGGAGTTTTTATCTTTCTGCATGCAGTCATGCCTGGAGACACCTTCTCTTCTCTCCTGTCACCTTCTCTTTCGAGTTCCTGCTGCATTCTTCTCTAGGGTTTTCAATCTGATCTTGATAAACCTCCTGTTCTCTGTCATTTATGTGAATGTCACTGTGATGATATTATATTCAAGTATTATTTTCAGTACTTTTTTTTGGGGGGGGCTGGCATTTACTAAAAAGTTATCTAAAGCTATAGTACTTGAAAAAATAGCAGTTAAATTTTGGGCTGTATGACTCTATGCAATATTTGTCTAATATTAATTTTCTGGAGGATCCCTTTAATCATGAAGTGGAGCTTTTTAGTATGGAAATTCAGACTTATTTTTTACACAATTGTGCCTATTCATGAAGTCTTGACTACATGAATTTCTTTAGACTGCAAATTGTTAAGGGTGATTTGACTGATAAGAATACTTCACAGTAGAGACAACTAAACCTCTTTGAAGAATTCATGTGTTCTAAATATAACCTTGACTTAAAACCAGTGCTTTTAAGTTGAAGTATATTTATAATTTAAAACATTATCTTGTATTATTAATAAGAACATGACTGATGTATAATTGCTATGTTTAAATTTGGCAAATTTGATATCTAAATTGCATTGTAATACATAAGGTATATCTCTGCTTGGATTTTGTTTTGATAGTGGACTGCTTGGTTGAAAAAATAATCATTTTATACACTATAAACAAGCAAATAACTATTTTAGATACCATGCTTTAATTATTTTATGAAATTTTAAGTATTAAGGCCATATTTTTCAGTTTTAAGTCATGGTTTTAGAGTCCTCCCTTCACTGTGGATTTCGATTACTTCTCCTAAACTGGTTCCACATGGGAACAGGAACTGACATCTGTAGAACCTTGAATACATTGATGGGTATAGGGTACGAAATGCAACCAAACATACAAATCCACAGTGAGGATTACATTTACTGAGGCAGACTGTGACTTGATTTAATAACGAGAAGAAAATGATAATAATATTAGAATTTGAGCTTGTATCCTTTGAATAAACCATCTCTACAAGCTACCCTATATTAATGTGTAATTAATATTTAACATATGTACTAATGTTGCATCATCCATGCACTTGGAGAGTCTTTATAATAGTGAAAATGGATATTTCTCATTTAGTCTCATATTCTGTTCATAAGTTTTTTTTAGAATTGAAAGCCATATAAAATAAAGTTGAATGCTTACTACTCATTAGTTTGATAAGGCAATTTGATTCTAGAAGTCAAAATTGCTTTAATGTTTCCTGACACAAAATGGGATAACTTTTTAAAGATAGATACTGCAAAATATGTGTAAAACGAAATTACCATTTTGGTCACTTTAGAGAGGTTTATGGGTTTGCATTAGTAATTTTTCCAGCTAACTTTCTAAAATTTTTATGAACTAGAAATATCACACTATATGGGTTATATAAACTTCCAATTGTACGTATCCTACTCTCAGTTGTCATTTAATCAAGAATAAAGCTTGGGGAATTATAATATCAGTGTTCTTCAATTTATAGGACCTCAAATCATAAAAGCATTCTATGAATTATTAAACAATTATTTGTGATATAATTTTATATTAAAATATATTTACAGCCTAGTAGATTTTTATTACTTTATTTGTTAATATTAAGAAGAAAAGGTAAAATAAATTTTCACAACAAATAATGAAAAAGTAACAATTGTTGATAAATTACACAACATTATCTTTAGTCACTCAAGTACAAAATATGGGCATAAAAATGTCTTCAATCAATATTAGCACAACCTTTCCTATTCAGTGAACTAAGTGACACTAATGGTATGACTAACTTGCATTTTTTTTTCTTTTCCCTTCTATCCTTTCTCTTTTCTCCTTAGTTTCTTCTTTTTATTGAACAGTTTCCTTCCATTTCACAGTGACTATTGTATATTTTGAACCTTATGGTTTCACATATGTCACTGTGGTGTGATGTTTTTCAATCCTTCTGGGAAGATACACAGAAGGGAAATACCTGGGTTGAATGGGACCTCTAATCCTAATTTTTTGAGGAATCTCCACACTGATTTCCACAGTATTTGTACTAATCTACTCTCTAACCAACAGTTGTAAAGGGTTTCTTTTTCCCTCAGAACCAGGAGCATGTTTTATTGGTAGATATATCTTTTTTTAAATTAAATGATTTTTAATGAATAAGGGAGAGGATGAGATAAAAGGGGGCATAACAACATAACAATACAGGATAAAGCATGACACTTTCAGCAACCTAGTGCTTCACCAAATAACCCGGCTTAATAGTAGTTACCATAGTGTCTTTTTATTTGAAATACTTGAATATAACTTCATATGCTATAGCATCAAACATATCAAGACTGTGTAACACTATTCAACTGGATGAAAGCATTGTAGAGTATTTAGAACCAGCTAACATAAAAAAAATGATCAATGGTTTCAATATTATCTCTTTGCCTATAACAATTTTTGTTTATACTACCACATACAATAAAATCCAGCAAGTTACAACACAAAA